TGTCTCAAATATTTTGCGGACGATTGTAGATGGCCGAATAAAGCATCCCACTCGGGTAAGCTTCTCGACAAACCGGGCTCATATGAACAGGCCCTAAATGTCAAAATAGTCATTAAAATATTAGAGAGGTTCAGATTTGATTTCCACTACCGCTACCACTAGCTCAGTGAACTCAATAGACCTATTGTAGTATTGTCTATATAGTCTATTGTCAATAGACCTATTGCCTATAGACCATAGGTCTATTGAGTTCACTGCACTAGCTACCTCTCACTGACTTAGTAAACATCTGATTGATTGATCGGAAATATCAAACACATCTGATTGGCAAATGGTTTCTTAATTACAGTCGTGCCAATAGAAGCGTTCCGAAAAATGTTGACCATTTCATTTCCTAATTTCGAGGAGTTCCTGGCCTCTAAACAATTCCTCAACAAATTGATAAGTTCCTTAAAAAGTTCCTAATTTCCTGTTTCATTGACCAATCAGATTGCTCAAAAATAAAATATAAAATTTGATTGGTCAATGAAACAGGAAGTTAGGAACGTTTTTAGGAACTTATCAAATTGTTGAGGAATTGATCAGAGGAAATCCTCGAGGTTAGGAAATGAACTGGTCAACATTTTTCGGATTAATTCGGAACGCTTCTATTGGCACGACTGTAATGGTAGTGGACGTCAAATCTGAACCTCGCTGATAATATACCTGCCGGTGGAACGAATTGAAATACAAGACAGCCTTTTCCGCACTCGTATCATCCCTAGTGCTTGAGTAATGAGTACGCTCAAGTTTTCTCTGTCCTAGCCTGCTCGCAGCCTGAAATTTAGAAGGGGAAAATTTCCCCCCTCCAATTCTGAATTTCAGGCTGCGAGCAGGCTATCTCTGTCCGAACTTTTGCAAAATGAAGCTAACCAAATCAGTAAAGGCCAGTATTGACGTAATTCCATCATTTGCATTAAGCAGGAATAAAATAAATATTCCAGTCGTCCAGACAGGCCTGTGTGGCAGATCGCGGACCATCCAGACCGTAGCTCCGAATCCGTAGCAAAATAGCTAGCCACATGGCTGGCAAAGGGCGGTAGTTGCGGTGGTCTGGCTGTATGAATTAGCCTATGATTAGCCTGCGCAGCCAATAAAGCCCCGTTTACACTACGCTCAATTTTTGGTACGGCACAGATAAAATTGGTACCCGTACCACTTTTTTGGTTTTTGGACTACCTATTTAGGTAGTCCAAGAACCAAAAAGTGGTACGGTACCAAAAATTGAGCGTAGTGTAAACGGGGCTTTACTCTTTAGCCTGCGCAGCCATCATGCGCATGCAGTCCATGGCATCATGCAGTCAAGACTGTCAAGTGATGCATGTTTCGAAGATGAACTATGAACTGGCAATTGCTCTCACCGAACACATGTATGTAAGGAGCCGATGTAGCAGGAATCCAGGCATATCGTCGTATGCATAGTCATAGATGACATGGATAATGGATTATAGATTCATCTCTAGCTGTTTATGAGGCTAACTCTATATCCCTGTCATGGCCTATGGGTCAGAGGTCCATAAAAGAGGGTCCTGAAGGGGGGGGGGGGTCCCAATCCCATTTCCCACCTGAAATTTTGGCAAAATCCAAGTCCCAGTTGGATTTTTATTAGAAATCCCAGTCAATAAAAACCCCTTTATTTATCGGTAGAATAAACAGTTTTAAGACCTTTTAAGCAAGTGGCGGACACTTTATGAAATATTAGGGGGAAGTTCGTGCCGAAGGCACGGAAAATTTTTAAATTTGAATCCCGGAAATGGCATTTGCAGCATTCTGAGACACGCATAATCATAAAACCCAGAATTCCGGGCGCCAGAGTAT